TTGCGACCTTAGTTTTTCTTGTATCATCTAAAACTTTCATATTGATATAGAAAAGCCGCAAATACGAAAAAAAAAAGGAAAATATCGACTATCTGCAACTTTTTTTTCCCTTCTGCAAAAAATCAAATTCTGGGACTAACATCCAAAATGGACTTCTTCCGCCAACTTTTTACGGTTCGAGGGAATTCCTTCAAATTCCTCGCTCGAACATCAATGCCCTGCAATAAACATTCCTGAAAGTAACAGAAAATTTTTCGAAATAAAAATTTTGTCTCACAATCGTACAAAATTTCAACTCACTCTGGTGCCTGGAAGAGTATCGCGTAGAGATGAAAAAGACATCGGTGGTTCCTGGAAAAAAAAAGAACAATAAAAAATGTAAATTATCGGGCAATGAAAAGGAAAAATTAACAGACGGAACAAAATTTCACAACAACACTTTTTAACATATTTTACAATGAATTATAACAATTATTTAAATTTAACAGACAAAAGAAAAACCACAACGTCTTTAGCCCTTCATTAAGATAAACAGCCAAAGCTTCGTTTTCATCTCCATTCTATTCACCTAAGTTGAAGAATTTGCATAATGGTAAGCGGCACATGCAGGTAAGCTTATGTCTGTGGTCTGTATCCACCGGTGAGGATAAAAATAAACCAGATTTTCTATGATCTATTAGAAAATTTCCATGGGATACTGAAATACTGTGCACAAAACACCATATCAAAGAGGCACTGCCGCCTTCAGCTTAATTATCAGTTATCTTTCGAAAAAATCATCCACCGAAAATCTTGCCAGCGGATAAATGCTACTGGTAGTGTTTACCTCTACAAGATCCTGCTTCCCACATAGAGTAATATTCAAAGGGGATTTCAATTTTTGTATAAAAATGAGCAAAATCGTACGACTTCAGGATAAAATTTCATCGTCAACGCAAAACAGTCATGAACTCACGGAGCCGTGTGTGTGTGTGTGTGTATGTGTGTGTGCTTCTTTTAGTCGGCAGCATAACTGCACCGCACGCAAAAAAATTAAAACAGGCTTGATGTAAGCAACTCCCTCTCCCTCACCCTGTGTTTGCTTCTTTCGAGAAGCCAGAGGCACTCGAAATTATTCAGAGTGGAAACAATTGTAAGCAATCATCCGCTAGCAAAACTTTCGATAGTTCCTTCTTTCGAGAGTTGCGTAGAATCAACCGATAGCGGTTTTGGCTCCCTGGCATGGCCTAGTATCAATTTTCCATCGAAATGAGTGAACGAATGTAAAAGAAATTGGTAGTCGAACTCATGATCTTCGGCACAAGAGATAGAGCTAAAAATTTTTTTCTTCGCCTCTAATTTTCAATCATTTTTTTAAGCAGTAAAAAGTCGAATACGCCATGTTCATGCCCATAAAATAACAGCCGGTGCGAAATTTAAAAAAAATAAACATTAACAATGTTAGAAGAAACGAACAATGGAAAAGTGAGTGGTTTATAGCAAGTGCGGCAAAACTTACATCCAAAAATTCACTGGGTATTTCCATGCCATTATCAAAATTCGCTTGACGCTGTAGTCGTTCCAGGCCGCCGCCACCACGACGCCGCACTTGCTAGAACAACAAAACAAAAACGAATAACCAACAACCACAACACAGA